TGAAGACAAAGCACAGTGATGCCTTGCTCACTGTACACGCAAATTACAGACCATTCACTGGCCCACGGACAGTAGCAGAAGCAAAAACGCCTTGATCTGACGCAGCGCCATGGAAGCAGGAGCAAGCACCCTCACTGACGAAGCTCTAGAAGCAACAGATAAAGATTGCGCTCCTGGGGGGGACGTCGCGGACACCGATACAGCTGACTGAGCTCCTGGCGACGCGGCTGATGACTCCGCGCAGAAAAAGAGAAAGAAGGCCTTTCGCTTCCTTCCCTCCAGCGACGTCATTCTGCTAAAGGAGGTGATCAAGCACACGCCATGGGCTGCTGGGCACGGCAAAACAGAGGCAGCATGGGGCAAGGTCGCCAGTGGGATGAAAGCAGCTCTGCCACTGTGCACTGCCGACGGCAAAGCGTGTCGTCGTCGCTTTTACACGCTCGTGGAAGTATTCAAGCGAGAGGAGTTGGAGTCGTTAAGGGCACCAGGTACAACAGAAGACTACGAAGAACGAGAGCAGCTACTTACAGACTGTTTTGAACTGGTACGATGTAATTTTGTATTTCTTAATCTGCGTAAAGCTAAGTCATTCTCTTTCTTATATGTAGACAGAGGGACATGCACAACAAAAGGCAGACAAAACTGAAAAAGAAAAACGATGCTGAGCGCCGTGAAGCTGCGTCTGCTGACATAGTTCGTAGCGCCATGCAAGGCATGCGTAACAAACGATCTCTCAGCTCAGACACGGAGTTAGCTACACCACCTTCAACCAAAAAGAAAAAGCGGTCAAGTACGGATGCATTGCTAGGTTTCCTCGAGGACCGCGCTTTATCGCGCAACAATAGACACTCGCTGAAAGAGCGACAGCTACAAATTGACGAACGACGACTCGCGCTTGAAGAGCAGCGGCAACAACAAGACAAGGCCAAAACAGACAGAATGCTAGCGATGATGTCATCGCAGATGGGTCTTATGGTTCAGTTGATAGAAAAAATGTCCAAATAAAAAGTTGAGCTGCTTATTGAAAAATCCTAAGTACTGTTCAACTGTTGGTGGTGTCATTGCAAAGAATGAAGAGGTCTGGCTGCCACGCAGGCAAGTGTGTACGTTTGTCAAAAACGCACCAGCGACGTACATCTTTCCAATACGTTGCAGATAGAGCTTTTGATTTTTTGCAAAATCAACGAAAGCCCAGTAGCGAATAATTTTACCAAAGCCCCATTCAACGCTTACTCGAACCGAACATGCGCAAGAGTCTGGGATGACAGAATATCAAAACAATAACAGAATCGTTAGTACTTTTTTTGTCACCAGCGCCCTTTTTCTGTTTTCGCGTACATAATCGAGCATAACTTTATCAATTTATACCATATCGACCGATATCGATTGTCACGATAGTGTACTTTTTTTAGGCGCACATGATGGTAAAAAGAACGGCCACCTATTCCCAGCCGTTCTTAAGTTATGCTCTTTTAAAGATTTTACTTTAGAGATGACACACCCTCTCATTTCACTCCATTACATGCTCTTTTTGCTGAATTACGTGGCACAGACGCAGAAAATCATGGTTCGCAAGTCGAACATTTTTGAAGAGCGCATCGAAACGGACATTTTCTTAAAATAACATGGTATACAAAAAGTGCGTTCTTGAGCCTGTAGCAAACGATTTGCATCCATGACATCCCAAAAACTTAAAATAACATATCTCGACTCCTAGAATGAAATCGACGTGAATCCTTAGGGCAGTTAGTGTGTTTTAGTATCATACTTAACACCACAAAGTTTTACGGGGCACTCTACAATACTCTTCCCAAGACGCAAGAAAATGTTCATTTTGGGGGGTCCTCTAACGCGAACTTAATGATAAAATACCGCACTTAGTCCATAAAATACGAACTTAGGCACTATTCGCACTTAGTAAAATAACTTCTCGCACTTAGAACGGGTAATTTATGTAAATTACTTTATGGGTGACTGCTGAGTTCTAACAAAACTGAAAGATACTGACTAGCTGCTGGCGCGGCGGTTACTTTTCCAGCTATAAATAGATGTTAAACGAGTAGTCTGTAACTGTCAGCAGTACTCAATTCCCGTCAATCTGCTGTAGATTAACGGGAATTTTTGTTAAGACGACGTAAACAAAAGCGAGTATCTTTCTTGTGACGGTTTCCTAGTATATGTGAGGTGACAAGTCGGTTACTGAGTGTAATTTTGGAAATGGCGTGTGGGTTTCTAAGATTATAGTTGGTTTTTGAGGCGTTACTTTGCTGTTTAGGGTGATTTCTCGGTCTTATTTTAGGATAAGATTGAGTGAACTCTGGCGATTTATGGTTTTTTAGATGTGTCTTTGTAGGAATAGTTCTGCTGTTTCTAAGACGTGTCTTTAAGACATTCCTTTAAAAATCGTGCGTTATTATTGCTTTGGGGAAACTTAGAGCGGTTATTTCGTGCGTGCAGAAATTGAGGTTGTACTCGTATGCTCTGCATAAGAATATAGCTTTATTTGACGCATTTTATGCGTTGCTCTGGGTATTTTGCGCTGAAGCGATGTGGAATTGCTGACGAGTGTGTGCTTTCGGGATAGTGACCTGACTGTGTGTGCTTGGATGCGAGGAAGCGTTTGCTGACGTTGCGAGGTGCTACATCAACGCTCTGTCGGTGCCGGTGCGAAGGTGTGTTGCGGTTGGTTGTATAGTGTTTCGTGCAGTTTTCGGATTGTGTGTCATTATGCGATACCTTCTGTGGTGCGTTTTGCGCTGGATTTTTCCGGTGGAAAGTTTCAATTTCGGGTAGAACCGTTTTTGATCTGGGGCTAGTTATGCGGCGTGCGGAGGGGACTACAACCCAAAGTATGCTGCGTCGTGCTCTATTATTCGCTTCTTGATCTACCTATTTTTAGGTGGAACTGTTGAAGTGAGGATCATATTTTTGTCTTTCTGTGCAAAAAGATTCTCGGCTATTAATGGCGGCTTTGAGAAAAGCTGCGAGTGGCCTAGCGACTGTTTCGGCGGTTGCGGGGCTGTTTGCGGCTGGCCTCTGTGTTGTTGTTTTGTGCTGGGGGCGACTTGTCGTCTTCTTTAGTATGGAGGATATAAACCTGGTTGATCCTGCCAGTAGTCATACGCTTGTCTCACAGATTAAAGCCATGCATGTCTAAGTATAAACAATTTTGTACTGTGAAACTGCGAATGGCTCATTATATCAGTTATAGTCTACTCGATAGTACCTTACTACTTGGATACCCGTAGTAATTCTAGAGCTAATACATGGCATCAATACTCCAACTTGCTTGTTCGGGGCGGGTAGCATTTATTAAGATTGAAACCAAAGGCAGGTCTATCGGGCATGGGATTGGTGTTGTAGTCATATAGACTGGTGGCGGATCGGCCTGTTTGCGCGAGCAACTCGGTTGGAGTTTCTCGCCCTAT